CATGGGCCTTAGCTTGGGCACGCCCAGCCCACAAAAAAAATAAAGAAACACTACTTGTAACTGTAACTAGTACGCCGAAAGGTGTAAAATAGCGCCGAAAGGTGCAACTAATCTTCTTTTTCTTTAGGAATCGTTGGGCTCAACTTCCAGTGTCGGCTATTAAAATCCGACACTGGCTAAATAGGATTTTGGTGTGTGTTGCCAGTTCTGGTCTTTTCCAGAACTGGGTGTGTGTTGTGTGTATTGCTTCCAGTGTCGGCTATTAAACATTTCGACACTGGCTAAATAGGATTTTTTTGTGTGTTGCCAGTTCTGGTCTTTTCCAGCACTGGGTGTGTGTGTTGTGTGTATTACTTCCAGTGTCGGCTATTAAAATCCGACACTGGCTAAATGAGATTTTTTTGTGTGAATCGTAAATCCTTTATGCGCTTAATTCGCGACATTTGCCAGGGCACTAAGGGCTCAATCAACACTTCCACTTTTGGAAGATCTGGCTGATGAGAGTTGTTTGTTTGACTGAGTTTGCTTGACATTTTTAGTGAACAGACTGTTCATGAACTTTTGTGTTTGGGTTTTGTATGGTTTTGTTGTGCCCGGAGCCCTGGTGGTAGTTTTTTGGAATGGGGGATTGTCTAATGGTATATGCTGAGAATATACACTTAGCCTAGAGCAGAACATAGACAGAGACATACAGAGACCGTGCACAGCAAGAGCGAGAAAAACTGCCTACATTTCGTTGCCAACATGACCCCTTATAACATGTTTTTTTTGTGAACTGTGCGCTTGAGCGTTTATCTTGACACAATGAAGGTCTGGAAGGAGGGTGGGGTAAACCATTTTATGGTTAGGCCATTTTTAGGTTATAGGTCTACAAAGACGTCATTTTGGTTGGTTTTGGTCGGTCTGGGCTCGCCATTTTATAGTGAGCTGGTGTCCATCCTGTTAGCTGGGGTCATCCATTCTTTAGAGCAAAAAAGGTGGGGGAAACCATTTTATTACTATAAAATGGTGAGTCCGGACTGACCATGGGAATTTCAACGGGGATACTTATATGTTTCTTCTTGTTGCACCACGGCTTATATGTTTCTTATATGTTTCTTGTTGTAATTGATGTAGGCATGTGCCCGGTTTTAAACAATTTGTTGTTGTTGAAAACATCTATTAAAGAAGTTTTTTCGAAACACTGTTGAAAACAATTAATATAAAGACCCCAAAAAAGTTTCAGAAAACAACTTTAGACCTAAAAAAAATTCAGAAAACAACTTTAAAATTTCCGAAAAAATGTCACAACAATATTTTAGTTTTAAAATAAGTTAGATTGTTTAAACAAAATTGTTAAGATAAGTTTCAGATTCTAGTGGTATGTAAATGATCGTTTTGGGTTCCTACCCACAGGCTTTCTAAAAACTACCAAAGTGTCGTGCTCACTTTGCAGGCAGTCCTCTTCGCGAACAACACGCTGTTGGCCGCTGGAGAGGTGGAACCTGAAGAAACCGAGTTCGCACCGATGGACCACATATTCCTGGTGGAGTCGTGGAGTTCGAGGGGCGGTTCAAGGCTTCAAAGTGAGACTCTTGAGACCAACTTCCTTTGCATGATGTTCTTTGTTTCTACGACCGCGATGGCCTACGACCGCGATGGCCTCCATATATATTACTAAATTTGTCTTTTCCATGTTGCCTTCCGTATAGTCAGACTCTTAGGGGTCCCAAGTGAAGTGAAAGCCCAAGACCCTTCTCTTAGGGGTCCCTCCCTATAGTTCCCTATACAGACCATTCTTGATTCTTAGGCCCCAACTTCCTCAACCGAAGAAGGTCGACTCGAAGGCTGAAGGAAGGGCATGCTAGTCGTTGATGCATGTTGAAGGAAGGGCCTTCGCATCATGCGGTCGATCCGTTGATCAGTTCTCGACCCGAACGAATCCGAGCGATGAGCTACCGGGGTCGGTCTACTCGGGTCGGACCTGAGACCGAGACGCACTCGATTTGTGGGTTCGGGCGCGGAGGTGGCTGACAGCCCTGAGGTACACCGAAGAATTCATCGGACACCTGAAGGAAACCGCGCGGCATGTCAGCTGATCCACTTTTGTTTGACAGAGTGGGACTGGTGTTGATCTAAAACCTATATGGGCCACAGATGGATTTCCAGTAGAGCAAGTATAGAGTAAGTGCCCCCCCACAATCTCCAGAAATTGGCCCTGAAAAGGTGCAATTGCCCCCAGTCTCTTCCAACCAAGATCAGCACCTTCTCCAGTCCTCCTCCCATCCGCCGCCGTACTACGCGCTCGCTGACGCGCGCGCCATGCTGCAAGCCACGCCAGGCCTTTGGCCCCTTCGCGGCGCACGAGGCACCCTGCTTCCACGTGCACACCAGCTCCGTTCGCCTCACCTTGGAGGGAAAGGAGCGCTTTGCCGAAGGCGCCCGGTTTTTTGTGAAGACTGGTGAAGCCAGGTCTATCCCACTTCAAGCTTGTTGAGTGCTTCTTCACAAAACCTGTCAAAAACCTGACAACAGCCAAGTCTATAAGAACATGTTCCCAACCGGTTGCATCCGGGATGACACTTTTTCCCCGTTCCGTTTCGCGGTCCCGAAGATGCCGCCTGGAGCGGTCCCGCTTGGGTGGCAGTCTCATGCTTGGGAGGTCCACACTTGGGGCCTAGATGATGGGTCTTTCCATGGCCATACCAACAGAGGTTAAGTGACCTTATAGGACCCTACCAGGGTACCTATGGGATAGTCGAACTAGGGTTCTTCAACCTCTGTTGGTATGTGGGCCAAAACATACACGCCATGAAGAGTTCGAACGACAGAAGTCGCCGCTGAGACGATGGGAAGCCTGAAAAACGATTCCATGACCATGCTTGAATGAAGGCTTGTCTAATACCGCAGACACTCCACGTATGGCATATTTACCTACATTGACCCCTGAAACCACCCCAATGTAGGCATGTATGACAGTCCCATGGAGTGTCTGGGACACATAATGACTTTTGATCGTCGCACATATATCTGGACGCCCAAATAGGAGGTCTTCCGGTCTTCCTATATACACCTCAGAAAAAGGGGATGGGCCAGCCGTCGAATGGAAGAGATGCCAGGGGCTGGCCGACCTCTAAACCACCGGGGTGGAGTGTTTGGGATGGGGATCAGTTGTTCGTGCCCTGGTCCCACGGTGTGGTCCAGCCGGCGAGGGTGAAGGTAGACGACTGGTCGAAACCAGGTTTTTCCTTCCGGTTCGGTCGGTCTCCTGGTTCATCAGCCGAATCACCGACAGTGATAGACAGTGATAGAGACCCAGAGATACCCAGGGTTGTGTGTGTTTTTAAGGAACATGGTCACATGTAGCGGAAAAGGGACAACACAAATTCAAAGGAGCGAACAGTCCATGAAAGGATCCTTTGTATTTCTCAGCATGAAAGAAAGTCTTTGGGGTGATTTTGTATGAAAGATCCTTGATCAAGTTGAATGTGGAGTTTGACAAGCGCAATTACCATTTTGTGCAAGATGTATACTCACCGGAAGAACCAGTGGACAAGAAGATTCCTTGCGAGGAAACCCTTGTGAAGGCAAGCTTTCTTTCTTGCTCCTGCCTTTCTTCTGGTTTCATTCTATTTCATGGTCGATTTCCCTTCTTAGAGGCCCACCGGACGACAAGAAGAGTGGCTTTCGCATCGCGATCTTCTCTCCAGAGGTTCAGGCACGGGAAAAACACGCGCGCACGACGCGTCTGCAGGGATAAAGGTGGATGGAACGACTTCCACATCGGTAGCAGTTGCATCAACCCCAGACACTCTATGGGACTGCCAATATATGCCGCCCCATTGACCTCCAAAACCATCCCAATGTGAGTGTCTGGGAAACCTGGAACGGCTGAAATCATCGTGTTTAAGTAGATTTCAAGGTGATTGTTGTGACCCTCCCAGAGAAGATGATCAACCTGGAATGCTGGCATCTCACAACATGTTGAGCACTCCGACCCCCAGAGGAACGTGCAGCTCGTAGCCGCTCATAGCATTACATATCTATGCCAAACTTACCCAGCTCCCAGCTCCGGGTCTATCCTGGGGCATACGAACTGACGGCACCCACCACGTGCGATGTTCTTTTCTTCCCCGATTCTTCCCCCAAGATGTTGCAGATCTTTTGTAGATCTCCTTTTAGTTTTGCAGTTTGATAGGCAGTGACAGGTGTAGGGTGCAAGGATTTCTCAATTGTTTCCAGGGCCAGACCTTGGCCAGGCATACAACGAGGTGGCGCGGAGGCAGCACAAAGGCAGAGCTTGGCCAGAGCGTTTCGATGAGGACGTTTTTTGTGCACCTGCAAATACTCCCAACTAGACCAAAACAACAGGTGTCCAGGAGTCACAAAGGGGTGATGTTTGGTTCCTAAGTGAGTGGATCATGGGCACCCCTAACCTCCATCAAGCATTCCTTTGTGTGTCCTGGCTCATAATATGTGTTTAACAGTAATTATCTCAGAACGTTCCTTTGGGGGCATCAAGCCTTTTCCAATGAGTGGATCCGTGAAATGCCAACCTTTCTTTGCGAGGTCAGACTGTTGAGGGTGGTTGTCCCAGAAGAACACACTGATATCACGGATGCACAGAATGTGACGGTCACCAGTTTGAGTCTTTGGTCACACGTGTTTCGCTGCTTAAGGCTTTAGCAGAGCCTAGCAGAACTAGTATAGCAGAGCATAGCAGAGCTATGGTTTTCAAAATTTGCTGGAGACTCCCCAAATGAATGTGGGTCCAAACCAATTTTGACCCTGGTAGGTTAACCTCTCAGCTAATTTGTGGCCCTGTTCTGTGGCCCTGTTCTGTCCGGTTTTGGGACACTTTTTTTTTGCGCGACCTAGGGAGTGAAGGTCACCCATGGACTTGGCCAGTCCCATAGGGCGTGGGCTCCAGCCGTACCATGGGCACGCACCCAGCCCAGCCCCGCAGCCACGCTTAACGAAGATACTGACTGGAGCCCGTTTTGGCGGGAGTGATCTAAGAAACACACTAGGAGCACCGAAAAGCAGTCAGATCACCCTAAGGATCCACACCTCAAAAACAAGGGTTTTGAGGGGCCCCAAACACTTGTTATAGAGGGTTCGACCCCCTTGCCATGGAGGGTCCGTTCAGCTGCTGAGGGGGCAGATTTTTTGCAGGTTCTCAATTCCCCATGCCAGTCCGCTGCGAAGGATCTCGTGTCTCTGGGAAGGATCCGCGTGTAACTTGTGACCGATGTCCTGTGGTGACCGATGTGCGATCGAAAGTGCGATCGAGGATCCGAGGGGCTGAGGTTCGATCATTCAACACAGTTGCACCGTTCTTTGAGACCACATCCCTCCTACCTGAACCCTCCAACAGGTGTTTCCTGGTGACAACAGGTGCCTAGAAACCACCTGTTAGGCTTCTAAAACCACCTGTTGGAAGGTCCTGGTATATATTGAAGTTCCAGGGTTGGGGTCGTTTCACATGTGGTAATTCAGCATGGTCATTCATCCATCCCACAATGCAACTCCTCTTCGTCAAGGATAAATCCAACAGTCCTTTCTTTCGTGAGGAAAAGAGTCCCTGTCGCTCGTTCTGTCCGAGGCACCGGTGTCCAGGCCTGTCGCATAGCATCTCCAGACAGTCAACCCCCCTTGGAATTCATTCCTCCGAATCCGAGCTCGGGCCCGACCGATGACGCATGACGCAGGGGGGAAAATGGAGCTGTGGCCTGGAGCTGTGTGGCGATTCTTTGGGTATGACCAATTCATCTTAGCAGGTGCTTATAGCAGCGAATGAGGGAATGAGCCCCCTTCTTACAGATTCCTCCAACACCCGCATTCTCTTTTTTCAAGAGCTTCGGGAGGGGCTCCCTGTGTTGGGCGCTTCTCCGCTCGCTGGCCCATCGCCGATCGTCCGCTCCCCAACTGCGCCTCAGCCCACGTCTGGCAGGCCAAGTGAAAGTTCGACCTTTGGTCTCGGCGCCCAGAGTTCGGATACGCCCAAACTCGCTTCTCGCGGATGTCGAAAGGGCGGCGCTTGAAGGTGACCGAGCTCCGGCATCCGACTCAGAAACACCGTTTTGGCATGGCACTCACTGACTCCGTCTGAGGGATGGGAAGGGCCCGGGCCCTAAGAGATCGCAGTCACTAAGGATCGTCTCAATTAGAGAGGACATCGAAACAGGAAGCACTAGTTGCAACTTCCCGACAGGGGTCTCTTGACTGGAAGCCCGGACATGACCTCTTGTTTTTGATAGGAGATTTGGCAATTTTTTATGGGTGGTTGCTGGTCCAACCAAAGTAAAGGTCACTCATGCACATTCAGGTCCGTCTCATTCCCCACGTTGTCACCTGTAGTCAGTCAGTCCCTTTTTTTTTCCGAGGCATGTGGATGTTCTTCTCGACTTGTTTAATTTGCTTGCGAGTTGTTGACCATGTTTGACCTCTTCATTAACTGGCTCCAAATCCCCCGTCGAGCGTCCCCGGCGCGGGTGGTACCCTTTTGACGGTCGACAGCCCCCTCGATCGAGGTGACTCCGAGCTTTGGCAACCAGATGATCTTGGCGAAGAAGAATGCGACCTGGTTTTTGAAGGACTCACCGGGCAATGGATCCCTTGAATATTCAAGGGAAGGAAAACCCCTCTCAAATGACCTGGTTATTTCTTTGAAAGACGATGAAAAGCCTGTTTTGGGGCTGTGCATGTGTCTGAGGTAGCCTCTTCGAGCCACGGTCGGAGCTCCGACCCTCCAAAAGTGACATATAAACATGATTCCCAGACACTCCATGTGACTGCCATATATGCCGCCCCATTGGTCCCCAAAACCACCCAAATGTGCATTTGTCGTGTTTGGGATTTAAATGAACGCATGGATCCGGATCCGGAAGGAGATACCTGGAGCACTCGGGTGTTTGATCCTGGAGATCTCGAGCAGATGAATGTGTCAAGCTGGTTTCAGTGACCAGTAATTACATCCTTTTCTCTCTGGGCCTCCACTCAAACTAGCCCATACTTGTTCACGTGACCAAAAGAAACCCGTGACCGCGTGACCCATTGAACCACAGGGCAGAGCGTGCGAGAAAAGCTCAGCACCTGGACAGGTGCCTGTCGAAGGTGCCCGTACGCCCCATCGCCGACCCTCGCACCCGGCCGGTTGCGAGGTGATCTGCAACAACTTGGGTGGCTATGGCCCTGAGAAGGAGAAATTGGCCCAGCTGCACTATCGTGGCGTGGCCAAGCTCCATGGACGACCGGTGGACGTGGTGCCCTGCTGTGTGGAGTGGAGAAAGAGAAATGGCGGGAAAGCGAGTCGAGGTGGCAAACCCTAAGAATCTGGGCCCGAACCACCCTAAGGATCCTTGCACATCCTTAGGGCAACACATATAGGGTTTGGTGTTCGGGCCCGTCTTCCCCTCGTTGACGCATCCGGCGAAATTGGGGGGCCGCACGGTGAATATCATCCACCACATCGCTGATGTGAGATAGTATAAAAACCGATAACGTCAAAAGTGGTATAGGGAAAGGTAGAGTCTATTTTTTAAATATATTTTTAAATACAACCTCATGTTTTTGGCGCAACACGGGGAACATGATGAACTTGGCTTTGCTCGGACGGTAGTTTGTGTCTCGCTCTAGATGATGAGAGTCTTCCGGGGCAGTTTCGGTTGCTTGTTCAGCGGAGCTTTTCCCTTTCTATGAAGAGGGTGCTCACGCTTTGCTTCGAGACCACGACTTGTTATATTATATATATATACAATATTTACAGAATAAACACCAATTAATGATCCAATGTGCAAATCGGAGGGCCAACGCTGGCCAACGCTGCTGGAGGGCCAATCACGACGATTCTCCACCTCACTTGGTCGTGTGCGGTCGTGTGGTCGCTTTGCGGTTGCTGCTGTCGCGTGCGAGCGTCGCGTGCATGTCGTGTCATCCTCCTGAAGGTCTTGTCCAACAAGCTGAGCTGCTTGTCACCAGGACAGACTCCTTGGTGCGGCCCCTGCGTCTCTCTCTCTCTCTCTTTCTGCTGGAGCGTGGGGGGAGTGAACGCCAGGTACTCGAGGCTCGCCCGGGCTATCGCCCCAAGAAAGCCAACCTCAATGGCCTCAGCCACAACGCTGCCTCGGTGAATGCACCTGGGCGAAAGAACGCTGGGAAGTTGGGCCACCTGTGGGGGTTGGTCACTAAGTGACCCAAACTAAGTCTTAACTAAGTGACCCAACTTGAAGAAGACAAGTCCAACGAAAAGCCAACAGGTTGCTGTTGGGTCTCTAGAACGAGGTTGATTGATTCATCGTCGGGTCTGTCACAGACGGCCATTGGCTGCTGGGATTGCTTGTTCGAAGATGGGTGACCAGCACGTTTTGAGACTCCAACGAACACATCACATGGAAGTGGATGGCATGGCCCCAAGGCAACTTTCCTTCACGAACAGGGTGTGAACTCCCCCAACCATGTGGACATTTTCATGGGAATGTAACTGATTGGGAGTCCAATTTATTGAGTGTTGCGTTGCTGTCCTTATCGATCGACAGATCGAGGTTGATTAAGCAAATGATGACACTGCTACTTTTGCTAGTTGTCCAACCGACTTACACTTTGATGTTCCACTCCCGAAAATACATGCATTGCTGCACGAACATGCATGAACCCAAAAAATACAACTGATTTGAATCTGGAACCGCAGTCCCAACCAGAAACAAATGGTTGTTCCAATATGGCTTGCTGGAAATCCTTTACATAGGAAATGGCTGGGACTGTGGAAACATCCCATTTCTTTCTGGGATTGGGCCCCAAGACATCTGTGATGTTCACACGCAGCTCGCGATGCGACGCCCAATACGCCTCCAGTTGGCCATGGGCAGTGCAGCCGAGCTGGAGCTTCGCTTCCTACGGGCCTCGCATCAAGTGCAGGCGCCCAATCTCGACGGTGGGACGGAAGAAGCACGGAAAATCCGAAGGAACATCCTCTGGGGCTTCCTGGCCCACCATTGCTTTTTAATGGCCTGCCCAAGCAACATCAAGCAACCATGGTTTTACCAAAAATGTTTGATGATTTCTACTACTAAACCAGGTCAACCATTGTTTTGATGGTGTTTCACTCAACATGCCATAGAGCACGCATGAAGATGGTTTCATGGAGCATGTTATCCCTTGCACGACAACTAAGTTATAGGACCGGATAAGCCCACATGTGAACAACTTCACCAAACACAGCCCCTGTAGCAAGAAGAAGAAGAAGAAGAAGAAGAAGAAGAACAAGGAGAAGAACAAGAAGAAGAAGAAGAAGAAGCGCAGTGAGAAAGAGAAGGGAAGAGGAGGGACTGGGACCTTAAGACCGTTAGGTTGGCCTCTGGACCGGACCGAGTAGACCGGACCGAGTACTTGGATCTCAAGACAGGCTAGACCTCTAACTCTGATGTCTAGAGGCTTCACATCTCTGGATCTCAAAACCTCTCCGCATGTTCATACCCCTAGCACGAATGCATCATAAAGCGCTTCACAACCTGCAAAAACAGGACATGTAACATTGAATATGGGCGGTTTGGATCTCAAGACCACTCCTCTAAATCTCTAGGTCTAGACTTGTGAACCCCTAGTATGCCAGATCTCTCTGGCTTTCTAGGCGTGTCGATCTAGTCTTAGCTAGTCTTCTAGATCTCTCTGGATCTCAAAACCTTTGACCTTTGGACCTCTAGATCTCTCTGGAACCCAATAGGTCTAGATCTTTAGGCCTTCTGCTTCCACCTCTAGACCTTGGACCTCTAGACACACTGTTTGGGGTCTCTTGCAAGGATAGTTTAATTTGGACCGTGTTTTCAATATGCATTCGGAAATATACAGTAGTCGGAACATAGGATTCAGGATTCATCATGTCCCATTCCTATGTTCATATGCCAAATTCGGCCCTCTACTTACTTGACCAGGATGAGTGATGCTGGCCCCAAACCACAGACAGCCCCTGGGTCTGTCCCACGAATGGTTTCTGTCGGTCGGTCTGCTTCGCCCGGGTTAGGAGAGCGAAGCGCAGCCCGTGATCTTCTCCAAGCTGTTCCTCCGGATCTTCGACTCGGAGGCCCACGGAGTCTTCGACTCGGAGTTGGTTCGTTTTGGGGGAAAACACCCCGTTTTTGTGTGTCAGGGTGTGGGTTCAAAAGATGGTCACATGCAAAAAAACGACCCACCAGAGATGAGGTCTAGGCATCCCTTAGCCCTTAGCAAATGGATTCATGATGATTTATCCACCTGCTATATGCACTTATGGGGGAAGTCTTCTTGATTTGCAAACCATGCGCCACTGCTACCACACACACAAACACATCTTGAGGATGAACCTGGTGTCTCTAAATTGTTTTTTGATGTGTCACTTTAGGCCCCACTGTGGCTAACCAGAATCCATCCACCGAACCTCTCATGTTGTTGTTCTTGTTTTGTTCTTTCCTTTAGTTGCTTCCAAGAGACACAACTTCATCCCTTGCCTTCACTGAAACCACCGATACCACGGAGAAAACCAACAACTCGTTTTTGCGGAGGGGGTCGTTCTTGACATGTTTCTCCAAAACACTCAGTACCAGGGGCCCTCAAAACCATGAAAAACAAAGGTTTTCAGATACAAAAACCAGGTTTTTTGATGGTTTCTGGGGCCCCTGGTAAGTGGTGTCAATCTGAAGTCGTGACGACCTGGCAACCTTCACGTCGCCTGGCGACAACACGACCACGCCGGCGACGATGGTGCGAACGGGAGGGTGATGCAGTTCCGCCCTCGGTGCCCTCTGGCAGTTGACACAAGCGTCAACTGTGGTGAATTTTAGGGGATCATTATAATACAAGTAGTTCCCGGGCAAGCCGGCGGCGGAAGTTTTGCACACTAAACTTCCTTTGATTATACAGTAGTTTCAGAGTAAATGGGTCCATTACAAACCACCTTTCTTGGGATTGCGCCACTGTGTATTGAAATAGGGAGACCTCCCATCTCTCGTCCGAACGGACGCGTTGTGCTTCCATCAGGAGCCCATCCCCACGATCCGCGCGGGAGAAGTGATCCTGCATGGCGCCAAGGCGGTGGCGGCTCACACACCGCAGCGGCGGCGCAACTGCTGCAGGGCTTCGTTCAGCTTTTGGGAGAGGTTTTTGATTAAAGAAAGGCCCCTGTAGCAGCTGAGGTGGTCGAGTTTTTCACTCCGACTTGGGGCGGGAAGTGAACACTTCCCATCAATTCCCTCGATGAAGGAATGGAGAGAGAAGGCGTAGGGCATAGATCAAAGCAAACATGCTTGGTAGCAAGTGTCTTCACTCCAAGCGCTTCCCCGAAGTCTGGCCGAAGGTTTTCCTCACTGGGTTCAATTTACATGCTACACAGCCTATAGCACCAACCCAAGAATCAGCAGAGCAAATCAGACACAAAAAGGTGTCCATTTGGATGTCCGCTGTCCGAGCGGCACCACCCGTCGGAGCGGCAGGCAGCCTATTGGCCAAACGGCACGGCCCAGCTGCTTCCCAAGGCGGGACGTGGACAACGGAAGACCGGGAGAACAACGCGGGCGCGGGTGAATCACCACAGACCGGGTGGGAGGGAGTTTGGAGGTCTAAGGCGAAACTGATGAAATGACTGTGGGGAGGAAGGTCTTTCACATGGTCGTTTATAACTCCCTAGGGATCAAGTACCTTCTCAGGAGGTGATTGGAGACACTGTTATGTAGGTTTCGAGGGTCCAAGTGCCTTCTGAGAGGGTACTTGGATCCCTAGCGACTACTTATACGCAAGGACATCCAAAGACACTTGGTCCGTGTGGATTGAAGACTTCAATTGGTCTATGAAACTGGTGCTTTTGGCTTTAGACATGAACATCCCACATGAACATCTCCCCACCTCTCCCCCCATCGAATATACATGGACCCGACTTCAAGCACCCTAGAAAATGGGATATGATCTCAACAAAAAACCGATACTGGTTACCCCAAATACACACCTTCTGAGGTTTAAGTGTTCGACACAAAGGACCAGCAGCCGCGTGATCGGAGGACCGGGTCAGGTGCTTTTTGTTGGGAGGTCGGTGGGCCTCAGAGGTCTTGCATTTGAAGCAGACCATTGATTATATGGATTAATTACATGTATTCGTTTATATATTTATAGTCATCCTGGAGTAGATAACATATGGTGAAATCCACAAGCCGTTTGCTTTATTTTTAGATTGGTTCATGTTCTATCTACTCCAGGATGGTTGTACCTCAGTGATGACCCCAATGGCCCCCAATGTAAGTAACTATTCCATACTTTTCCATACATGGATGGTTTGGGTGAAGTCAAATGCTATTCTCTATGGCTTCCGTTCCTACTTGGTTACAAGTGGAATGGGTTTCCTTTACAGAAAGAACATACAGATGCAGCTGCAGTAGGTTGGAGGCCATCGCTAGTAGGTAGGAGGCCATCGCTAGTAGTAGGTTGGAGGCCATCGCTAGTAGTAGGTTGGAGGGTGTGCCTAGTAGGTTGGAGAGGTTGGAGTACTGTCAATGACGGTGCGTGTTAAACAGCTTAAGCTGCTTCTGATTTCAGTGGACACCCCGAATCACCTCTGCAAGGCTATCAATATACACCACAAATGGGCGGCCCTGGTACATGTTCAACAATAAAATCTTAAGTTTTGTTCTTTTATATATATTCATGACTTTTGCAGTTGTGCACTGCAAGCCGGGCAAGAACCATCAAGCTGCCGAGCCCCGGCTGTTGCTTGTCCTTCCCTTTTTTGGAGACGGGACTGTTAGAAGCGTAGTACGGGAACCCCCGGCGCTGTTCGTGTCAGGTGTGGACTGTCCCAGAGGGTCCGGCGCCCATGATCCTTGGCCCTGGAGGTGTTTGGAGATGGAAGAAAAAAACTCCTGGGAGAGATAGGGAGAAAGCTGGGAAAGCGAGCAAAAACAGATAGGGAGAAAGCTGGGAAAGCGAGCAGCTCAACCTTGAGTAGTTACTTTGCCTTTGTCTTCCCGGCTTCCGAACAAGCAAAATCCCAGATCTGAGGTTTTGAATCGTACATCCTTCAAACAGTTTCTGCGTTTCTTTTGGCAAGAGCCTTAGGCTCAAAGCTGACCAAAAGCGTTGCTACCTTGGGGAGTAAACAAAGGAACGTGCCAATGACATCTAATGACATCTTTCGGGAGGGCTCTTCCAGTTCGTCTCCCAAGAAGACCTCCGAAATGGTGAATCTCTTTGATCCTGTCAGTCTCGCAGTGACCGGATCAAAGAGATTAAGAACTGAACTGCGATACTCCTGATCCAAAGAACTGATCCACCCAAACGCGACCCTGGGCCCTCATATGGAGGGGTCTGGGGCCCTGGGGTCTCAAATCTGTAGGGTTTTGAGGTACCAAGAGCTGTTTGGAGCGTTTGGGCAATGACAGGATCAGTTCGGTGGCCGACCGATCAGCTGATCCGCTGATCCAATTGACCGCATCGACTTGGAGGAACAGGGGCCGCACCCGAGACATCAATCCCCAAACACGACCGCCAGACTGGGACTAGCAGTCCGGACTACCGAGAGTTCGGGCCAGGGGTGATTTCACGGATTGATTTCAGGAGGTCAATGGATGGTTTCATATGCCAGTCTCATTTGTCGTGTCTGGGTATTAGGGTGCAACAAAAACGACCTCAAGGATGTTTTCAGGACCAGGATTTGCTGATCAGTTTCTTTGTGCAAGCTTGACCCTACCGCCTTTTTTGATGGACTCAAAGGGTGGAGGGTATAGATGTAGAACCTCAACAAAGTTCATCACAGTTCCCACAATCTTATAAGAGGGTGTCTCCAATCACCTTCTCAGAGGGTATGTGGATCCCCAGGGAATCTTATTGATGTACTCACTCTAGAAGTCTAGAAACCGCTCCCACATGTTCCAGCTGGTTTCCACAACTAGGTTTTAATGATGCATGCTTTTTCTCACCATGCTCTAAATGGGCAGATATGTTGCTTTTGGGTGCTTCAAACCAAATCTGTCGTTCTTTTTTGGTCCCGCTTCGCATCATTTTCGAGGTCACCCGGAGGGGCTGACGAAGGGGCTGAAGGATCTGCTTGGAGTGGGTGCCCACCTGATGAAGTAGAGAATCTTAAAGGTGTAGAGTGATCTTAGCTGTAAGCGTGATCTTAGCTGTCCATGTTGACTGAAAGGGATGGGGAAGAAACAAACACATTCTATATATTTCTATATTATATACTGCCTATTTGGATGTGTGTGTCGCTTTTCACGATTTCGATCCATTTCTCTGGGACACACACACACACACACACCGTGGGGTCTAAACATGTCTAAACCCCAAACACTCCATGTATGCTGTCTACATACCTGCAGCACTTCCTCAGAGTGCATTTTGGTTTCTCTCTGCCTGAGAAACATCGGAGTCGCAGCATGAACAACCAACAGAGGTTGAAGGACCTTATAGACTATCCCAGTTCGGTACCCCAGTCAGGTCCCATTTACGGTCACTTAACCTCTCTTGGAAATTGGAGTCGACCCGTCCCAGGATCCAGTTCGACGCTTCGGCCACGCTGATGTTGACCCTGAAGGCTCGCACGGCGGCAGGCGCGGCGGAGTGGGGAGGGCCACGGCCACGGCCCCGGGCGTAGACCGCGCGTTGAAGCGCCTGAAGGAGGCCGTGGAGGCATGTGGAGGCGAAGGAAGAGGGATGTGGTATAGACTCCGACCCTATAGACCCTCAAAAACAGAACCATTAAAAACCACCCATTCTGATAGGGTCATGTCATGTCCCATGTTTTCAGGGTACTTGAAGCCGGGTCCAGGAAAGAAATGTTTACATTCGTCGACGTGTGTTGTGGCGATCGGAGATGTGGAACTCTCACTTCTGTGGAAGACTCAACAGACAAGTGTCGAAGGAAGGTGGTGAGATATGATGAAGGAATGATCTCTGGGTCTTTTTCTTCGAGCCTATAGGCCGCTGTCTGTTTAACTCAAGATGCTCAAGGTTTTAAGACCAGACTATGTCAGATTGGCCCAGTTGAGGGTGCCATCACCAATGAAAACACCCTCACAATCCAGGCCCAAAGCATGACGTCGGTTGCTTCGGACCCGTTTTCCGCCTGGAACGGTGGTCCGAGTCCGGTCCGGGGTCGGTGTGTTAGATGGGCCGAACCTGGAGAGGCGAATTGCAGTGCGAAGGGTTCTTACGGTAGTTAAGCACCGGTGTTAGATCGAGGATGATCGAGGCGTTGCGCATCCGTGTCCGGCGAATTCACTGCGACATGCATGCTTCTCGATATCCTCGAAGTGCATTTTGACTAAAGCTGGGTGGCTGGAGCGGGTGCTTCTCGCGACCGCGTTCTCGTTGTGGTGCCTTGCACATTTTCGGACATGGTGGTCACTTTTCGTGGCAGGTGCAAGGGAAACCTCGTGCTTTGGTGGTCCAAAGTCGAATTTTCGTGACAGGTGCAAGGGATCGGAGCGGCTGTACTTCGAAGCGCAGATTTCGTGGCACTTCGTGGCAGGTGCAGTACTTTGTGGACCTTGAAGTGCAGATTTCGTGGCAGGTGCAGTACTTTGTGCAGATTTCGTGGCAGGCGCATTATTTTGTGAACCTCGAAGTGCAGATCTCGTGGCAGGTGCAGCACTTTGTGAGCCTCGAGGTGCAGATTTCCTGGCAGGTGCAGCGCTTTGTCGAAGTGCAGATTTCGTGTGAACCTCAAAGGGCAGTGCAGGCACAGCACTTTGTGAACCTGGAAGTGCAGATTTCGTGGCAGGCAGGCTGCCACAAAATATCAAATGAAGGGTCGAGAGCTTCAAATCATATTAGGCCAACATGCAAAAACGGGGGCGCGCAAAGGACAGTCTTGGGGCCGATGAGCACAAGTATCGGTATAAATATTTGTTGATATTTCTCAATGCCCTCATGCTCAGGCATGAGGCGTTCAGCCACTTTGTTGTACTCAGGCGCAGGCCTGCTACCGTCATTCATCGGTGGGTACGGTGGCAACTTTTGGGAGGATCCACATTTCAATCGGCGCAAGCTGCGAAACTTGCGCGGGCATTTCGCAGTGTGAAGCTGGGAAGTGCAACATCATCGTCCCGTCTTCAGCTGTGGCGCGGGTACCAGAAACCCGAAAAGCGCCTTGGACCATTCACCCTCGCGGACGTGGCTGGAAAATGTCTGGCAGAGCCAGAGCTGTTGAAAAGAGGTGTGGTTCTGTTGCGCGTGATCCAAACATGACGTGTCATTTTGCAAATGCCAGGCACCGCCTCAAAGTGCAGATTTCGTGGCAGGTGCAGCACTTTGCGAACCAAAATCTTCACGTCGAGGTTCACAAAGTGCTATGCCTGCTACGAAATCTGCACTTCGAGATTCACAAAGTGCTGTGCCTGCCAGGAAATCTGCACCCCGAGGTCGCAAAGTGCTGCACCTGCCACGAAATCTGCACTTTGAGGCGCTGCCTGCCACGACCTGCCACGAAATCGGCACTTCAGGTTTTCACAAACTGCTGTGCCTGCCCCGAAATCTGCACTTTGAGGCTCACTAAGTACTGTGCCTGCTATGAAATCTGCACTGCGAGGTTCACAAAGCGCTGCACCTGCCACGAAATCTGCACCCCCGTGGCAGGCCTCACGCTCACCTCTCCGCTGAATGCATGACAGCATCCATTATTCAAAGTAGTATGTGTGTGTGTGGCCCACTTATATATAATACTTATATATACAATCTTTTAGCGTCGTTTACCTGAATCAGCCAATCAGCAAAAGAGAATTCTGACAGATGGTCAGTTAGCTAGCTTAGTCAGCCAACGCGGAAAAGAATAGTTGCGTTTCATTTCAGGGTTCTTGTTCACTCAAACGAGTCAAGCTGCAGTCCTGCGTCGTGAACAGCGCAAAGTACTCCCCGTCGCCAGTCCGTCCTGCGTAAAAGGCCGGCATCAAAGTCGAGACTCTGGCAGGAGATTCGTCGTGAGTGAGTCCTGGGAGTCTGATCCTACAATGCCATATTCAACGCCTTGTGGAGGCAAGGTCAACAACTCAGCATAAGGATGTTTGTTGGGCTTTTGTGCGCAGAATCCGGTGCGGGCCTTCATTCCACGGTCAAAGATGTCAATCGTCGTGCCTATCATGACCTTGATCTCCTGGAGTGTTTATGACCGGATCTTCGTAATTGCTTGGCTGCTTTTCTCGTATACGTTCGAGTTCACATTTTACGATGCGATGCTGCCAAACAATCTTTCCGTGGCGTCATTGTGGTTGATGACTGGAGATGGATCAGATGGATCAGGCACTCAACGTGTTCCTGGTGGGCGAAACGGTCAGCCAGCTGCTCCAAAAGCTACATATATGAAAGGAATTGGTGAAGCCTGACGCCCAGGGCAAACTTCAACTGAATTCAGGTAAAGAGGTGCCAGAGCACTACTACCCGGGCAGCTGCCCAGATCCCAGAGAGTACAGATCCGACAGTGAAGAAAGCAACTGCAACCTCCAAACCGGCCTCAGGAGGGTGAGACGACGCCTCAACCCACCGAACTTGAGACGATTCAGAGCACAGCTGTGACACCAAACAATGTTAAGGCATGCCCAGTGCTTGCAAAGAGCATCAACGCAAGACCTCCAGGCATCTACCCAGACACCAAGACAAAAGAAGCAAATGACACCAGATACTGTGGTTGCCACACCGAGCCAAGACCTGAGGTCTATGCCATCGAAGACCAGCCCAGAAGATCAGTCCGACTCCGAGGACAGTGAAGCAATGGCCGTGAGAGAGGAACTGCTCATCGCAAAGCGCAAGGCACATGCCCGCTACATGCGGTTTAGCAGGAGCCTGACAAGGCAAAAAGACTCCAATAGAAGTGCGCAAGGCAGGACAATCAGCCTTTAGAGACACCGAGAAGTTGCAGCTGCTGCTCGAGCAGTGGTCGGCATGCCAAGGCTTATGGCGGGAGAGTGAGTTCTTCATTGAATTGAAACAGAAGAAACGCTATAGACAGTTCGGAGCAAGGCGGTGGCTTACTTGTGGGGAACTCATCTTCAAGTACGGGTCTGTAGAGGTGGCAGACCAAATAATTTCGGGCAAGCAGCACGATGAAACAGCCTCCAAGACCCAAATACGACCTCACCCAGACCTTCATGGGGTGGACACTGATGAAGCCTCCTCAAATAGACATATTTTTGTTGTTTCCTATTTCATGGCACGTTGACTTGCATGCAGCATTGAAGGATCCAAGATTTACATCAAGGGTGCGCAGGTCGCCTTCAGGTATTGACAACGAACTCAACCCGTTGGATGTGGCGTAAGAGAGGATTGATTGGAATCGTTCAATGTGTCAGTGTCATGTTTGTCCAGCAGCACCACGTTGTGCATGTTGGGTCATTTGAGGCTGCGTGGAAAGCCTTGTGTCTTCCACCATTGCCGCTATGGGGCTGCGTGGAAGAAGCTGTACATCTGGGGCAACTGTACAGAATCAATGCTGATGCGAACATGCCAGAGCCAGACAAAAAGCATGAGGCTTTGTCTGGATTGGGTACTCAAGGGGGGGCTGCCTACCCAATTCCCTTTTGTGATCTGGCTGCGGAGAGCTTGGGCCCACAACTGTCCATCTAGACATGATGCTCACCCACACTCTGACTCTCACTCTCCTCACCTTCACTCTCACACTCACTCTCACTCTCACTCACACACGCTCATGCTTGACACTCACTCTCACTCACTCTCACTCACACTCACTCACACTTCACACTTCACACTCACACTCACATTCACTCTCACTCTCACTCTCACTCACACTCACTCACACTTCACAGTCACACTCACACTCACACTCACTCACACTCACTCTCACTCTCACTCTCACCTCACTCACACTCTCTCACTCACTCACCACCACCGCCACCATCACCACGATCTCCACCTTCATCACCACCATCACCTCTCTGAACCCCAACGCGTCTAGATCTCTAGACTTTCTGCTGCTACACCTCTAGACCTCATACACACTGTTTGGGTCTCTTGGGATATTTTTTTGCGGAAGGGAAGCTTCAACGCATCACAAGGAATCAGCCCCCAGCAGCTCCGTGGTGAAACGCCCAGGCATCTCGTTCGTTCGAACACGTCGCAGGCAACTCCGTGGGGAGCTTTTGGGCAGGGCGCACCTTCTTCATCACCATGCATTCGCCGGACCTGATCATGGCTACTTGGATTGTCGATGTTCTTCCGGAGGTGAATCCAAAACCATTTCAAAAGCCAAGAAGGGCAATTGAATGGATTCCTATCGGCGCCAGAAGGTCAACCTACGATGGTTTGGTGGGGTGACCATGCTTGTGGATTCTGTCATGTCAATGCCGCTCCCTTACTGCCCTTTCGTCTTGGACCGGGTGCACAAGGAATTACTATGGTTCGCCAGACTGAAGAGGTTGGGTGAAAATTGAAAAGGTAGATCAAATATCTCGGAGAGCACTTTTTGACTGAGGCATTCCCATTTTGGCGAAATGACTCCTGGAGGTTTAAGGGGGACACTCCCTTCATGAATCAGAGTCTGTCAATTAATTAATTCCATTGCATTCAGATGCATTGAGTGTGTTCTTTCATGCTGGTTCTTTCATGTCCTTGCAATATGACCACCCAACTCTTCCCACCGTCTCTTTTGCTCAAGGTCCATCGATTCATGTCCTGATTCTGCCCGAGCTTTCGCTCAGGGCCCGACCTCCACCGTTCGGGGTCGGACCGACTCTCCTCCGTGGTTCCACGCGGGAAGAGACGGGCCCGGACCAAGCGCTTTCGGGCGAGTCGGGTGCATGTACCCCCCCCCCTCCAGACCGGTCGACTCGATGAAACCCACCCCCTTCGCCACGGAAGCGAAGCGCGCGGAGTCGCGGTTCGGGCCGTTCGCGGCCGAGGAAGAGGGACGGCACCACGTGGCAGGAGCACGGTGAGCGCCACAGACGGTCAGCGCCACCGACGACATGCTGAGACTGGTTCGAGACCTGCTGAGACCTACGGAGGAAACGTCTCCCATGCATACCAGGACCCTCCAAGGTTCGGCTGTTTCGAACGTGACCCGACCACAGGTGCTGAAGCTGGGCACCAGGAAACACCAGGAAACACCTGTTGGAGAGTCCAGGTAAGAAACACAAGGCCAACAAAATGGTCAAACTCAAGCTACCCCAACTGATCGGTAAATGCCCCAGTCCCATTAGTCATGTTTGGGTATATTATATGTTGCTTTTGCTTAAGGTGATTCTTTATTTTCCCGAACTGGATAGATCCCCTTCTGATGAATAGATCATTCTTATTTTTCCAGGCTCCTTGAGCCACCCCGAGGTATTACAAGAGTTCTGGAACGACTGGGCGAAAACATCAGCTTAAACACTTCGAATGCGGCCGGGCGTCGGTCCAGAACTAGTTCACGCCCGCGACTCCGCGTGAGAAATCACCTCAACCCCCAATGGATGTTACGGATGTTAGGGAGGTGTCCAGACCACTCTGGTTGAAGAACCCTATAGCCTATAGACTATCCGGATGTTGGGTACCTGGTGACGGTCCATTCGTTCAGGTCACTTCACCTCTTGGGTGTCGAGGTGTCCATCTCGGTTCATCTCGGTTCTTTCTCGCAACACAAAGACCACCAGCACCCTCCCCAGCACCTCCCGCACCCTCCACTCACCAATGCTTCGACCCCTTGGGAGCCTCAACACCTCCTCAAACGACCCCGCAAAACCTCTCAAACGTGCGGGCGGATGTTTTTTTTTGGTTTTCGCTGATTGGTTTGCTGATTGGTCTGCTCTTTAGTCTGCTCTTGGTTCACCATCGTAAAGTCACCTTCGATTCTGAAGGGATTCTTTCACCATCTTCCAAACACGAACGCCTCGGCTGCGAACTGGAACGCGATGCGCACTGCAGAGGGTGGAATCACCCCCAAACCCCATCGATGTGACGACACATGACCGGTCGAGCTCCTTAAATTGCATGATCCATCCCAACCGAACACCGGCTTCTGCGCGGCGGAACGGACGGCTTACCAGCGACCGGCAGGAGGCTCGCTCAATCCACAGGCGGAATCCGGACCGGTGCGACGCGGTGCGAACGACCGATGCGAACACAACACACCGAAAGAAGAACGATCCATCCGGACCGGAACATCCGAACGCAGGGATTGTTCCGCCCAGACGCGACCCTGGGCCCTCATATGGAGGGGTCGGACCCTCATACGGAGGGGTCTGGGGTCTCAAATCCCTAGGGTTTTGAGGTAGCAAGAGCTGTTTGGAGCGTTTGGGCGGGTGTTCCCGGGTGATTGGACCGAAAGAAATCCGTGCTGTTGGTTGCTTCTGTCGACGCGACGGACCCGAATCCTCGGGTTGGGGTTCTCACCAATCCCGATCGGTTTGGTTCGGGACCCAGGGCTTTTCAACTTCCCACACCTTTTGTTCAAAGGTGATCAACGTTCGACAGAATGGAGAATATATCAAAGGTACCGCAATTGATCTTCGAAACAACTTCAAGGTCAGTATCGCAGTTCCTGGCACATCCTCAATGCCACCCAAACGATCCAACGACCTCCTTCTCAAGTAGTTGCAACCTTGCGTGTTGAATGTATTGCGGATACGAAGTTCATGGAGTGGGGTTTATATATATATATGGTATATAAGGTATATACGTCTCAAAGATCAATGTGCGCATGCCAGGGTGAAAGAACAAGTCGCCACTTGGGCCATCGAAGAGCTAGGTCTTCACCAAAAGATGATACGTTGAAATGGGATGAACATGAGCATTCCACTGTCAAATCTTGTCAAATCTGTTTCTCCACTTTCCCACCATGTCCAACGCCTAGGCCGGGGGTTTTTCCTGCCTTCCGCATGCGACCGCATGCGACCGCATGCGCTGGATCCGGCACGAAGCACACGTGGACGACGGATACCGGGGACCTTCCACCTGTCCAGGGCGATGCAGCCTTGGGCGTCCTGTTGACGAACCCCAGCAACGCCAGAGGGTCGAAGGGACGGTCGAAGGGACGGTACCGCGGTCGGAGGGACGTGGGCGCACGGGGGGGGGGGGGGGGGGGTGAAAAACGAGCCGCGGCTGGGTGTTCCCCTGAAGATTCACATGGAACATCATGGAACCTGAGAATGGACCTTTGGACCTTTGGAAGACGATTTTCCTTTAACACCGAGTGGTTTTCAGGTTCCATGTTAAATCTTCCGGGGTGTAGTGGTGGAGGTTGTCAACCACATGTGTGAGATGTCTTTGTTTAAAGATGTGAGCATAGCCTTTTTGGGTTCCAGATGGGGAAACCTCAGCAAAATGACACCGTATGAAGTGGGGTTAACCTGCTAAGACATAGAGTATATTGGTTTGAGTCTCAAAACACACACACACACACACTATCACAAACTCATCTCTCATGGATTTCTTTCTGAGGATCTCGCCAGGAACTGTTAAAACCTCCTTTCACCATCTTTCACCTTGACTTGACCTGAAGTGGTTGACCGTTCTGGGACAACACTCTGCACCACTTGGAATCCGAAAGCTGCATCAATCCATGAGATATTCTATCAGCTGGTGAGCAGAAGTTTGCCCTCCCCAGCCACAATCTAAGGAACCAGGGGCCCTCGTTCGGTCTATGGTTTTAGTCGTTGCCTGGAACCACTGGTTACCAGCGAGCTATATATGCTAAATATATTGGATATATACTGGATCTCCGGGCTCCACAGTCGCGTCCAGCGCCCCTAGAGATACCATATTGGGAGTCATATTGGGTGTCATGGTGATTTGGCAGCCAAATGGCAAGGGATGACTTTGTGAGGTTCCTTTTTTTCTCCTATTCCCTGGGCCCAGTGCATGATGGTTAGCAAAGGCCTTCCTCCTATAAATAGTGATGTTCTGGTTTACAGACTGCTTACAGGTAATAGGACCACCCCCCAATACCCAGACACGACTGGCATCAGACACACATATTTACCTACACATTGGGGTGGTTCATTGAAAAGGGGTCAATGTATGGTTTCATATGCCAGTCCCATGCAGGCGTCGTGGCTGGGATAATATATCCATGTATATCGACTCATGTGACGAGTCTTGGAGGATCATGTCACCATCATGTCACCATCCTACCCCGCCCGCTCTTCGCGGCCCTTTGCCCCTGCACGAAAAGAGATCCCGAAATCATGGATCCTACCTGGAGCCTCACTTCGTACCTCAGAAAATGAGTACAAGTTTGTTAATTACTGTTTTGTTCTTCTTGAACATGGGCCCATGTGAATCATGTCCCATCTTCTAGGGTATTTTGGAGCATCCAGGCATGAGCCAAGCCTCACGGAGATGGACCCAAACACCTTAGGTCACATGGGTCACGCCCAGGCAGGCGCCCCGCCGCGATCCGTTCCAGCCGTCGCTCGCCCTTCGCTCGGCAGGTTCTCTACAACAACCTGGGCCGTAAGGGTCCAGGTCATCTGGACGAGCCACCCATCATCCGTTTGGATGGCGTGGCGACATGGCACCAGGAACGCCTGGACATGGCACCTCGGACTGCGGTCAGACCGAAAACGAGACCGAGCGGGGCGGGGCTGGGCGGAAATCAGCTCCTGGGGTGAGTTCTCCTGGCAGGGAGG